CTTGTGCCTATGGTACGACAACTTTTCTCTGTGCATCTGGTACACTGCGCAGGAGCACTTTGCCCCACACACACACACACAGACACACACACGGAGCAGGAGCCACACACACGCGGCAGAAAAATAACTGCATTGAGAAACTACTTCCTCTGGTCAGTTTCTTTGGCTGCTGTCTGCAATGATAACACTGGTACTCTTACACTGACTCTACTATAACAAAGCTTTTACAAACGCTGATCACAGCCTCACACTAACCTGCAGACATCCACACACCCACGGCTGGTGTCTTTCATCACACTAAAAGCGCACCACCACCCCTCTGTCGTCGGTCTCACCCTCGGCAGCCGTGCTACATCCTCTCCATCCTGCAGTCTCAGTAATAACCGCGGCACCGGGTGCTCAGATATTTGTGAGCGTGCGTATCAGCCGGCAGGAGGAAGTGGACTCGAAGGGAGACTCCTCCCATCCTCAGACATAAACAGAGGGGGTGAGAAGAGGCTGCAGTCAAAGACAGGTCCCCTTTATTAACACGCAGTAAAGCCAGTCAAACACAAATATGATCGCTGTCTCCAGAGGCCCAGGATGTGATGGCGATGGCTGCAGCGTTTCACGCCATCCGGGTGCTGAGGCCCCTTAAAGTCTCCTCTCTCACCTCGCCAGGCACGTCCTGAAACCTCCGCCCGACCCCCACCTCTCAAATCTGAATTTCTCCATATCAGGAAACATGAGCAACACCGGGTTTCCCCTGCACACCCCAGGGCTTTGTGCCAAACGTCAACTTTTCTTCTGTAACTGTGATGGGACAGCGTTTCCATGTTTCATATTCACCCACGACGCAGATGTGTCAAAATACTTAGAAACCAACAGCCCATGTGTTAATGCAGATGTGGGACTTTTCTGTCCAAACGAGTTCAATAAAAAGCTCAGCGACACTGACTCAAGAGCTCCTCATTAAAGGCTCATCGTCTACTGAAACACCTGTTTAAACACCGATAGATCTACTGACTGAGCACGCCGCGGTCACGGCGAGGTCACGCCAAGCACGCCGCAGTCACGCAGAGCATATTTTTATTCCAGAACCCGTTAAACTGAGTGTCCAGTGAGGTTACTGCCAGACTCTGAGAAAAGAAGAAAGAAACGAGCTTCATTGGTCACGTACACAATCATACAGAGCACAACATGCAGTGAAATGTGTCGTGTCCGAGCTGCAGACAGGCCGCAGATGTAGCCGCGCCATGTCAGGGCTTGGTGGGCCTAGCCAGGACCCTTACTGGATACTGGGAGGGAATCAAACTTGCAACTTCCACTCCAAAGCTGTGTGGTCTTACCACTACGCTAAGAAGGGCGACGTGTTTCGATACGTTTCTGTGAATGTTTGATGAAATCTGATTGGTGAGCTAATCCAGGCGCTCCGTGTGGCCGCTCATACTTCCTCAGTTCTCAGGCTCTGTCACTGTGTGAAATCTCTAATGGTTGAGAAACGCACGTCAGTCCTGCTTCATGCTATGATGACATGAATGGCACATAGATGAAAGTAAACCTGTGAAGTTCTCCCTGGTTAACGTGTTGCAGGTCGAATGACGTACTCTTTGCAAAACAGAGCTCAGGTTGATTTGAACCCAGAACAGAAGCTGGTTCAGAAAAAGAGGAAAAAGGTGTTTGTGCGAGCAGAGGCGAGACAGCGTTTCCAGGGTGGTAGAAATGCTCCACTGCCTTCAGGACTGAGAACAGATGCAGCTTCCTGTCGTGAAGCCCGGATTCAGATGGAATCCACACAAACTTCCTGTTCACCAAACGTCTTGTCTGCACTAGACTCGCTGTGGTTCTGCCTTGGCCCGTCCTTTGCGAGCCGCTCTTTAAACTACAGAAACCAGCAAAGAGTCCTGACTTCTTCGTCTCTGATGTTCTAGATGGAAAGTTGCTTCATTGTCCTGGTGGATTCGACTGCTGTTCTTCCGCCAGCATAATCCTGCTCTCAGCAGCGCTCCGCTTTATGCCAGTTTGTTTGTCAGAGTCGTGACAGAGTTGGTCACCTCAGTCAGCGACCGTCACTCAAGTCGGTCTGCCTTCAGCTTTTGTTGCTCGTCGAGTTCCTCTGCTTGTTTTTGTTTTTAGGAGTACAGATATTCCAGTCCTCCAGTGTGGGTGACTTTGACACAGCTCACTGTGTTGTGTCTAGCGGAGGTTTTACGTACAGACCCTCCAAACCTGCAGAGATGGGCTGCTGTGCCCCATGCACCGCAGTGACAGCAAACCTCAGTCAAGCACAGCATCAGTGAAAACAAAGGGTCAGTGTGACTCAGTCCTTTCAAATAATGCCATGAAACACGTGTACACATCCACCTATGTGTGCAGGAGCTGTAGGCGTACAGCTTGTTGTCAGCCTCCATGTCTCAGGTTTATCCCTCCATATGAAGCGGTGTTTTTATGTCTCGTGTGCAGCAGAGGCCGGGTTTCCTCGCCGAGCTGAAGGTCACATCGTGTGAAGGAAGACTTGTTTTTGTGTTGGTTGGAGCGAACGTCTAAATGGAGCGATGGTGACAGTCAGCGTAACCTCTAACTATATCTGTTAGCTTTGGCATGGCGGCGTCTTTGCAGCGACTCCTTAATAACACGCTGCGAAGCGTTTAGAGCCGCAGCAGGCCGCACTCTGAAACCACGGCTATCATCTCGCTACATCCGTCCTCTCCGGTTTAAATCAGTCAGATTAGGGAACAGCCGGATGTGCACAACATTCCCGGAGAGTCGAGCCGAGCTTTGAGACACACGCAGCCATCCTGCATGCTCCATCCGAACACTGAGAAGGCCGTCTGATACGCGAGCGGCACCTGCACGGGTCACCTTTTTCCTCTCAGCTCACAGACAGCTGACGGTTTCCCGCCACACACACTGCTCTGATTGGTCACCAACTCAAATTCAAACCCTCGCCAGCAGGCTCAGCGTGTCAGAGACGAACCATTTGACCAGAGAGCTTAACCGAGCACCGACTCGGGGTTAAAACTGCAGGAACACATCCACGCCGAGATCACCATGATAACAGATGACTCTGTGATCAGTCACCTGATGGTGGTAACCATGGCGGTAAGCAGGAAGTGGTAAATTAGACCCCGCGAGCGTCCTGTCAGTGTTTGCTTCATCCTCAGAGTGCTGTGCCACAGAGCTCATCCTCGTCATCGTTGGCTCTGATTGGCTGAGACGGGTTTGTAAAATAAGCACGTTAACGATGCATAATAAACAGGACGGCTAATAACTGTGACATAAACACATTTCCTCCAAATCACAGGATGTTTGTGTTTGCTTTAGCCCATCGTGAGAAGTTCTGTCAGCGCACAGCGGCGTGTGAGCTCACATCAATGCGCCTGCAGTGCTGCTCGCTTCACGGGGCAGATTCATGTGAAGCTGCTGTGACACGACTGCTCGCCACGAAGCACAGCTGTTCCCATGCCGGACGTCGGTCTGCACATGAACTATTAAAAATGAGGTTAAATGGTTAAAGTGGACTCTGAGCTAGTTTAAAGAGTTAATCCCGAGTTAAACACATTAAAGTCTCACAGAAATCCAGAAGACGGTGAAGTCAGACTCATCAGGCGTAAAATCATCCCGGTTAATCTTACTCAGAAACCACAGACTGTATAGAGAAGAGGGAGGATGTGGAGCTTCAGTATCAGAGATGTTTAAAGCTTTTTACTCACACTCTGAGCTCATAGTTATAAACATGTTTGATATTATTAAGCTGTGATGTAACATCAGCAGGGGGCAGGAAGTATCCAGTCAAAACCTTCTCATTGTGTTTCCTGTGGATGAACGTATGAGCTGTACCTGTACGTGCAGAGTTTCACAATAAAAGACCGTTTGCACTGACACTTAAAACCTCCGTCCCAGTGTCAGCCACGCCCACAGTCACTGAAACCAGGTAGAACCACAGGGAGCATGTGCAGCTGATCAGGAGATTTGAACCACGAACCTTGATGTGAGGTGACAGTGCTGAGTTAGCGTGTCAGGACGATGCTCCTCTCTCTCCGATGAGTTCACCTGGTGGTCACGACTGCTTGCGTTTTCCTCCAAATTCAGAATGTCGTACAGTCTGAAAACGTTGCGTGCAGTCAAACCGTGACTCCTGTCGCAGCACAGTCTGTGTTCATCATTAAAAGTTAACGATTTCAAGCGCGTGCGGCGTCACTGTGGTCCCGTCTCTCTGCCGTTTCTCACGGTGAGCTCAGGACTTTGGGTCAGAGAGACCAAAAAAAGTCCAGAGACTGCAAAATGTGGCCAAATGCAGTCGGACGTCGTGATATTTTTGGCTGTTTCTGACATACTATTTGGGACATACTAAATCTTTTTTTGGGTTAGTGGAATGCAGCCTTCACGAGGAAACACAAACTCAGCTGGTTGCGGCTCAAAAACCCTGCTGTGCTTCAGTGCGTCGACAGATACAACAGCCTCAGGTACAGTAACCCCACTGGCTTCTCACTGGGAACAAATCTCATTTTTCTCCACGAGTCACCAGGGTTGTGTAAGCCACCAAAGCTGAAACACTTCAAAATAAAAGGTTTGAAATTTCAAAATAAAAGTTTTTTTGTTCAGCTGCGGTGGAAATGAGCTTCCTTCGGAGGGTGGCTGGCCTCTCCCTTAGAGATAGGGTGAGAAGTTCGGCCATCCGGGAGGAGCTCAGAGTAGAGCAGCTGCTGCTCACATCGAAAGGAGCCAGCTGAGGTGGTTTGGGCAGCTGACAAGGATGCCCCCTGGGTGAGCTGTTCCACCGGGAGGAGGCCCCGGGGCAGACCCAGGACACGCTGGAGAGATTACATCTCTCGGCTGGCCTGGGAACGCCTTGGTGTTCCCCCGGATAAGCTGGAGGAGGTGGCTGGGGAGAGGGAGGTCTGGGCTTCTCTGCTTAGGCTGCTGCCCCCGCGACCCGGCCTCGGATAAAGCGGAAGAAGATGGATGGATATTGGGTTTTTTTGTTCCAAGTTTTCATGAAGCTCAGAGGAGCAGCCCCACATGAGCTGAAGGCTCAGCCACACATCCTGTTAGAAACACTCAGAACTCATTCTAGTAAAACTGCTTCAGTCCACCCACAGCTGCAAGCTGCTTTGCAACCCACCTGCTCCTCTCCTGCTGTTTCTGAATCAGACGGTTCAGACTCGAATCACAAAACTCACAGAACCAAACCTAATAAGGATGACCGCCGCGATCCTGCCTGAGTTTGAATATAACAGCAGCATCATTAATTAATCATAAACTGATCACTGATTAAACCATTACCTGTTTCATTAACGATCAAAAGGAATTCATTCTGTGATGTTATTTCCTGTTTTATTTTGGTGATTGGACTTCCTCGCACTTCTTGTCTTTATCAGCTTTCCTCCTCTGTTATTGGCTGCCCCTCGCTGATATTTTTTCCTCCTCTCCTCCTCAGTCCACTATGAAGCGGGGGCTGGGCTGCCACCCTCTGACCAATCACAAACATGGATAAATGTCCCGACAGCGGAGTTTATAAAGGACAGAGTGCGACTGTGCAGATGTTAAACCCAGACTGGACGTGCGACAGCAGAGGGAGTGTGTGTGTTAGCCGCGCTGAGTGAAAATCACATGAAGTTCCTGTTACGGCGGCAGGAAGGAGAATCTGATGGAGCAGGTGAGGGCGACACCATCAGTTACCATGGTGATACACCTTCGTGGTACAGGAAACTCAGAGTTAACCCTCACGTTACCCAGCTCGTAGTGCAGACTCTGAGACGGTTACCGTGATAACAGACTGTGTGACTCCCACCCATTCTGACCCTCAGCTTCACTTCCTCACTCACACCGGAAACCTTCTGATAAACACGGCGGCTGTGAACGAATCAGCGCGAGGATGGAGACAGTGATCGATGTGGACTCTGCGGTCTCCATGGAGACGCTTTAAGTATTAATGCTGATCAGGACCAGCAATCAATTTGTCCCACTGATGGATAAATGTCTGCCATAGCTGCAGCTGCTGGGTCTGAGTGACATCACAGGTCAGAGCAGCTGTGATCTGATTGGTCCAGATTTGTATCTTCAGCTGCTTCGACCCGTCAGGTTAAAGCTGAACATTTAAACATCACAAATGACGAGTGTTCATTTCCCCACGCTCATGCTCGAGTCCCCGAGGCGCTCGGAGCTTCTCAGAGCTCGCTCTGCTGCCCGGAGCAGGCCTCGGGCTCGTTCATTCTCCTCTCTCTGCAAACACAACAGCAGTTACGTAAAAGCAGCCTCTGAGGCCGCCGTCCAAGGAAGCACTGCAAGCAGCGTGAACGAGCACCATGAGAAGTTCGAACACAGCCGCACCAGCTGACTCTGCTCATTCCTTAAAAAACGTTTCCAGGACTAAAAATTCCACACGGTATTAGTGGAAAACAAACACACATCATCATTCATAACCAAACAAAAGCACTTAATAAGCTGCAGCAGATATGAAATCTATGGCCTCCTCCCTCCGGGGAAATCAGCTCCATCCAGCGGGAAATAAATCAGCTGTTTTGATTTGCTGTCCTCTCGGCAGATCGGCGTGCACATACGAGCATCCCTACATGCGCTCTGGTCTCCATCGGTAGGCTTGTTTCAGAATCAGCTGATTCATCACAGAGCTGTCGATAAAGTAATCAGATTCCTTCATCCTTCACGTGAACTCAAAGCTAAGTCAGGCGCCTGAAGCGTTCGCCCTGCAGAGCATCTGAGGGGAAGGATTTGACGCGTGCTGTGATGTCACTGCTGTCGATGAGTGCTTCCACTCGAGTGTCCGTGGGGCGCAGACGCCGTCGGTCTGAATCTCATCAGCGCTGCTCGCAGCCAACAGCTCGGCACGCCGCAATGCTGTCTGGTACTTGGTGTGGAAGGAGCCAGCAGACCAATGTGATGCCACAGTGACACATCGACCCACAGGACCACTTAAGTCCTCCGTGGAACATCTTTATCCCAGATCCTAGATCAAATTGGGATGTGAGGAATGTGGAGGTCAGGTGAAACACGACGTTCAGTCTGAGTTATGAGTTTAAACTTTGATCTAGATAAAAGCTTTTCCTTTGTGTCAACTGAAGCTCACCGTTTAGTTCACTTTGAGCCAAGATGATCGACAGACGGTCTTTGGTTGACATGCTGAACCTGGAAGCAGCAGAAGCAGATGTCATGGAAACCAGTGGAGCGGTCATTAACCCCTTGGAGGTGGCAGCTGGCCGTTGCCAGTGCGCGGCGTCCTGAGACGCTGCTGCTGTGATTTGTTCCACCTAGGCTCCTCCCCCAGTCTCCAGCAGACTGAACCATTTTTAGACCTGTTTCCTGTCTTTGTGCCACGACGCAGGTGTGCAGGTGTGTCCTGCCTCCCCCCCACCATGACCTGGGATAAGCAGTTAGAGAGCTGATGGCGCTCGCTGTGTGGCACCGGCCATGAACAGCGCAGTTCGCTAACGTTTTAACCCTGAGGTCTGATCCGGTGATGCCGGACAGGACGGGTGGCGTGGCAGAGGCGGCGCTGCCGGACTTTTTCTTACTGCTCGAGCATTCTTAGAGATAAACAGGAGAGGGTGGGGGCGTCTGTATTTATCAGCAGCTGATTGGCTGCTGCAGCTCGTCATGACAACGTGTCTCTGAGCAGTTTGCACCTCGCAGAGTTCAACCCCGGTTCCTGTTCACGCTGTACACGAATGGGACGTGTTTGAGGAACAGGCGGCAACAGGAATACAGGAATCTGATTGGAGGTGAAGAACTTCACAGTGAAGATGAGGAGGTGATTTCCTCAGGTCAGAGGTCATTCTTCAGACTGTCAGCATTCATGTGGAGGTTGCTGAGGAGCAGCAGGCCTCAGACAGCCTGGACTCCCTCTACAGGAAGAGGCGGAGCTCTTCTTTAAGTCAGACTGAGCTCAGGGTCAAATGTTTCTGCAGGTGTAGGCGAGCGGTGGTCAGCATTGGTGCCTCACAGGGAGAAGGTCCTGGGTTTGAATCTAGCAGCTGGCCGTGTTAGCTGCTGATGGGTGGAGCAGATTTTTCCAGGAGATGGAGATCATCTGTGTTCACGAAAGGACTGCAGGTGGAGGTTCTCAGATTACAGGACGTGTTAGTTTGCAGCAGCTGCAGCTGGAGTCTGCAGGGCCGTCCCCACCTACACCTCCGTCGGGCAGCTCTTAGTGTCGGTGGATGCCCGTGTTATGAATAACGCACACGCGAGCGGTGTGAATGTGCTAATGTGCAGTTTATGTAATGTCAACAAAAGCACCGACATCAGCACCACGATGAAACACAGGCCACGCCCCCAAGAACACAATGCAGAAACATAATGTAGGCAGAGGTTATCTGTGCGCCCAGCGCAGTGTCAGCCTCTCACATGTTTGTGCTGTCCCTGCTGGACACCAGAGGAACTGCAGCTCCTGACTGCCCTCGTGTGTAATTTGGCGTGTGAAGCATGGCTGCTTCAGCCTGCCAGAAAGTTCCAGTGGGATTCTTCCCAGAGACACGACCAGCACGTGGGCGGCTCGCTGCCTCAGGGCACGGACACAGTCGGAGCCAGAAAGAAACCCAAATAAATCCAGTGTGGACGAAGCTGGACAGCAGTGTTAGTCCCAGCGTCTGTCTCCGTCCTCACCGCCGAGCACCTCCCTGAGACTCCCCTGCTCTGAACCGCTCCCCGCTATTCGTATGATGGTATCTCAGCTGTGTCCGTCAGCCACAGGTGTGGCGTCAGCCGTGGGCTATCAGGGTCAGTCGATCCGTCCCACCTGTATGACTCCCACAGAGACTGACTGAGGGGCTTTCAATGCTTTGACTCATTGATGTACGATTAGTTTAAGGAGCTCTGAAAGTTTCCATGAAGCCGTTTCAGTTCTAACAGACCGGAGTGTCCCCAAGAGGGCCGTGGACCCCCTATTGATCCTCTACCTATCACACGAGCCAAGGTGTGAAGATGGGTGTGGGTCACAATCAGGTGAACCCACTGTGAGATGTTGCTCCACCATATCATGTGACTTACTGAGATGTGAGTGGGTGTAATCCAGCTCTGAGATCCTTCCCAGGGCTCTCACATGTCTCCACGATGACCTGGATGGCCGAGAACCTTCACAGACCTTCGGTTAGCTAAACTGATCAGAGTGGGGTGGGCCCACTCAGAGCCAAGTGTCATGTCCACACCGCCTGCCTGTAATTGAATCCACAGCGAGCAGGTTCCTACTGTGAGCTCGAAGCTTCCAGGCCCCGGGGGTCTGCAACAAATACATTATTAATGTGCATCATGGCCTCACGTCCTGCTTTAATAACGCTCCACACCTGAGCTCAGCCTCTGCAGCTGAACGCTCTTCAGGCCTGCTGCTGCCCCCGCGGGACCCCGACGCCCCCCGAATACTAACTCAGCCTCTGATCGAGCAGCTGAAAGGACACAGGCTCTGAGTGGGAGAGAGAAGCCGCCCTGCATGCCAGATTTCCTGCGAGCCTACCCGAAACCACCACAGACTGAACCCATGCATCATTTACCGCACATCCTGACTACAGCCGGGAAGCTCCCAGGATAACCCGGCACCACCAACATCGGGACTCCTGATTCAGACCCCAGCAGGACTATATGTGAACTGTAAACTAATCCTGCTGGGGGCATCTGTCTGCTGCGTCACTCACACCTGAGAGTCAGCTGTGCTGAGCAGTGGAGGTGGCGATCCTCCAACACCTCACTGCTCATTAGGAACGACAGCGGTGCCTTGAGGTGTTGTGGGACATCACAGTGACGTGACTGAGACCCAGGTATTCCCTCCACAGGTGATGTGACGTAGTCTGTGCCTTTATGGCGCTCCAGCTGGAAACGACCCGTGTGCTCACTGCTGTTAATCATCCTGCACGCACGTGCTCTCTGAATATTACATGAACGAGCTCCACGCTCCATCCAGCAGGAAGAATAACACACGCCAAAACCAATTAATAACTGATCAATAATTAATAACTCACAGCTTCAGACCAGCCAGAGAAATGATCTGCATCCAACAGCACGAGCCCGCTCACACACAAACACACTTTCAGGGTTTCAGTAAGGACGCGGTCTTACCGGCTCTGCAGCTCCGCTCTGAATGCCTCTGCAAACGCTGCTGCTCTGCCTCCTGCCTGCCCACACACACAATCTCACTCTGACACACACACACACGGTCTTTATGATATCCGAGTGGGAACATATGAAAGTGTCCACACAGTCCAC